GCTGCTACTCTGTTAATTATTTATGCAGTCACTTTAACTCTACCCACATGTACATATTTACATTTACATTTTCGTCAATTAGCAGATGCTCTTTTCCAGAGCGACTTACAAATTGGTGCATTCACCTTATGATAGCCAGTGGGACAACCACTTTACAATATATATACAGTGAGGGAAAAAAGTATTTGATCCCCTGCTGATTTTGTACGTTTGCCCACTGACAAAGAACTGATCAGTCTATAATTTTAATGGTAGGTTTATTTGAACAGTGAGAGACAGAAGAACAAAAAAAATAATAAAAAAAACGCATGGCCCCGTCCATCATCCCTTTGATGCGGTGAAGTTGTCCTGTCCCCTAGCAGAAAAACACCCCCAAAGCATAATGTTTCCACCTCCATGTTTGACAGTGAGGATGGTGTTCTTCAAACACGGCGAGTTGAGTTGATGCCAAAGAGCTCCATTTTGGTCTCATCTGACCACAACACTTTCACTCAGTTCTCCTCTGAATCATTCAGATGTTCATTGGCAAACTTCAGACGGGCCTGTATACAATGGGGAAAAAAAGTATTTAGTCAGCCACCAATTGTGCAAGTTCTCCCACTTAAAAAGATGAGAGAGGCCTGTAATTTTCATCATATGTACACGTCAACTATGACAGACAAATTGAGGAAAACAAATCCAAAAAATCACATTGTAGGACTTTTTATGAATTTATTTGCAAATTATGGTGGAAAATAAGTATTTGGTCACCTACAAACAAGCAAGATTTCTGGCTCTCACAGACCTGTACTTCTTCTTTAAGAGGCTCCTCTGTCCTCCACTCGTTACCTGTATTAATGGCACCTGTTTGAACTTGTTATCAGTATAAAAGACACCTGTCCACAACCTCAAACAGTCACACTCCAAACTCCACTATGGCCAAGACCAAAGAGCTGTCAAAGGACACCAGAAACAAAATTGTAGACCTGCACCAGGCTGGGAAGACTGAATCTGCAATAGGTAAGCAGCTTGGTTTGAAGAAATCAACTGTGGGAGCAATTATTAGGAAATGGAAGACATACAACACCACTGATAATCTCCCTCGATCTGGGGCTCCACGCATGATTTTACCCCGTGGGGTCAAAATGATCACAAGAACGGTGAGCAAAAATCCCAGAACCACACGGGGGGACCTAGTGAATGACCTGCAGAGAGCTGGGACCAAAGTAACAAAGCCTACCATCAGTAACACACTACGCCGCCAGGGACTCAATTCCTGCAGTGCAAGACATGTCCCCCTGCTTAAGCCAGTACATGTCCAGGCCTGTCTGAAGTTTGCTAGAGTGCATTTGGATGATCCAGAAGAGGATTGGGAGAATGTCATATGGTCAGATGAAACCAAAATATAACTTTTTGGTAAAAACTAAACTCGTCGTGTTTGGAGGACAAAGAATGCTGAGTTGCATCCAAAGAACACCATACCAACTGTGAAGCATGGGGGTGGAAACGTCATGCTTTGGGGCTGTTTTTCTGCAAAGGGACCAGGACGACTGATCCGTGTAAAGGAAAGAATGAATGGGGCCATATATCGTGAGATTTTGAGTGAAAACCTCCTTCCATCAGCAAGGGCATTGAAGATGAAACGTGGCTGGGTCTTTCAGCATGACAATGATCCCAAACACACCGCCCGGGCAACGAAGGAGTGGCTTCGCAAGAAACATTTTAAGGTCCTGGAGTGGCCTAGCCAGTCTCCAGATCTCAACCCCATAGAAAATCTTTGGAGGGAGTTGAAAGTCCGTGTTGCCCAGCGACAGCCCCAAAACATCACTGCTCTAGAGGAGATCTGCATGGAGGAATGGGCCAAAATACCAGCAACAGTGTGTGAAAACCTTGTGAAGACTTACAGAAAACGTTTGACCTGTGTCATTGCCAGCAAAGGGTATAAAAAAAAGTATTGAGAAACTTTTGTTATTGACCAAATACTTATTTTCCACCATAATTTGCAAATAAATTCATAAAAAATCCTACAATGTGATTTTCTGGATTTCTTTTTCTCATTTTGTCTGTCATAGTTGACGTGTACCTATGATGAAAATTACAGGCCTCTCTCATCTTTTTAAGTCGGAGAACTTGCACAATTGGTGGCTGACTAAATACTTTTTTTCCCCACTGTACGTGCTTTCTTGAGCAGGGGGAACTTGCGGGCACTGCAGGATTTCAGTCCTTCATGGCGTAGTGTGTTACCAATAGTTTTCTTGGTGACTATGGTCCCAGCTGCCGTGAGATCATTGACAAGATCCTCCCGTGTAGTTCTGGGCTGATTCCTCACCGTTCTCATGATCATTGCAACTCCACGAGGTGAGATCTTGCATGGAGCCCTAGGCCGAGGGAGATTGACAGTTCTTTTTTGTTTCTCTCATTTGCGAATAATCACACCAACTGTTGTCACCTTCTCACCAAGCTGCTTGGCGATGGTCTTGTAGCCCATTCCAGCCTTGTGTAGGTCTACAATCTTGTCCCTGACATCCTTGGAGAGCTCTTTGGTCTTGGCCATGGTGGAGAGTTTGAAATCTAATTGATTGATTGCTTCTGTGGACAGGTGTCTTTTATACAGGTAACAAATTGAGATTAGGAGCACTCCCTTTAAGAGTGTGCTCCTAATCTCAGCTCGTTACCTGTATAAAAGACAACTGGGAGCCAGAAATCCTTCTGATTGAGAGGGGGTCAAATACTTATTTCCCTCATTAAAATGCAAATCAATTTATAAATTTTTTGACATGTGTTTTTCTGGATTTTGTTGTTGTTATTCTGTCTCTCACTGTTCAAATAAACCTACAATTAAAATTATAGACTGATCATTTCTTTGTCAGTGGGCAAACGTACAAAATCAGCAGGGGATCAAATACTTTTTTCCCTCACTGTATAGATATTTTTTTTTTTTTTTTGGGGGGGGGGGGGGGGTATAATGAATACTTTTATCCTATCCCAGGTATTCCTTAAAGAGGTGGGGTTTCAAGAGTCTCCGGAAGGTGGTGAGTGACTCCGCTGTCCTGGCGTCGTGAGGGAGCTTGTTCCACAGTTGGGGTGCCAGAGCAGCGAACAGTTTTGACTGGGCTGAGCGGGAACTGTGCTTCAGCATAGGTAGGGGGGTTAGCAGGCCAGAGGTGGATGAACGCAATGCCCTCGTTTGGGTGTAGGGACTGATCAGAGCCTGAAGGTATGGAGGTGCCGTTCCCCTCACAGCTCCGTAGGCAAGCACCATGGTCTTGTAGCAGATGCGGGCTTTACCTGGAAGACAGTGGAGTGTGCGGAAGAGCGGGGTTACGTGAGAGAACTTGGGAAGGTTGAACACCTATTATGTCAAAAACAGTTCAAATAAGCAAAGAGAAACGATAGTACACCATTACTTTAAGAAATGAAGGTCAGTCAATACGGGAAATTTGAACTTGAAAAGGGAGGCACAAAAACTATAAAGCGCTATGATGAAACTGGCTCTCATGAGGACCGCCACAGGAATGGAAGCCCCAGAGTTACCTCTGCTGCAGAGGATAAGTTCATTAGAGTTACCAGCCTCAGAAATTGCAGCCCAAATAAATGCTTCACAGAGTTCAAGTAACAGACACATCTCAACTTCAACTGTTCAGAGGAGACTGTGTGAATCAGGCTTTCATGGTCGAATTGCTGCAAAGAAACCCCTACTGAAGGCCACCAATAACAAGAAGAGACTTGCTTGGGCCAATGAACACGAGCAATGTTCATTAGACCGGTGGACATTTGTCCTTTGGTCTGGAGTCCAAATTGGAGATTTTTGGTTCCAACCGCTTTGTCTTTGTGAGACGCGGTGTGGGTGAACGGATGATCTCAGCATGTGGATTTCCCACCGTAAAGCATGGATAAGGAGGTGTGACGGTGTGGGGGTGCTTTGCTGGTGACACTGTCTGTGATTTATTTAGAATTCAAGGCACACTTAACCAGCATGGCTACCACAGCATTCTGCAGCGATATGCCATCCCATCTGGTTTGGGCTTAGTGGGACTATCATTTGTTTTTCAACAGGACAATTACCCAACACTCCTCCAGGCTGTGTAAGGGCTAGTTTACCAAGAAGGAGAGTGATGGAGTGCTGCATCAGATGACCTGGCCTCCCCAATCCCCCGACCTCAACTAAATTGAGATTGTTTGGGATGAGTCGGACCTCAGAGTAAAGGAAAAGCAGCCAACAAGTGCTTAGCATATGTGGGAACTCCTTCAAGATTGTTGGAAAAGCATTACAGGTGAAGCTGTTTGAGAAAATGCCAAGAGTGTGCAAAACCGTCATCAAGGCAAAAAGTGGCTATTTGAAGAATCTCAAATAGAAAATATATTTGTTTAACACTTTTTTGGTTACTACATGATTCTATTTGTTTTATTTCATATTTTAGATGTCTTCACTATTATTCTACAATGTAGAAAATAGTAAAAATAAAGAAAAACCCTTGAAAAAGTAGGTGTTCTAAAACTTTTGACCGGTGTAGTGTACTACACCTCCAACCTTACCTGCTCCTGCTGACTCTCTATGATGACCAGGTGTCCTCCATCGCGGATGCAGGCGTACTGACTCTGTTCCCAGGTCAGTTTGTCTTTAGAGAAGTAGTAACATGATCCATTGTAGAACTCCCAGCCAGGAGAACACAGCTGACTGGTATTACATCTCTTCTGACTCCCTGTAATAGAGAGAGGCGAGACAAGAACACACCAGAAGACAAGGAGACAAGAGACAATGAGATGCAATTTGTATTTGATGACTTACAGTAGTACAGTATATCCTATATTTATATGTGTAGCCAGTATATACAGTATACTAATATAAGTGTACAGTATAATATTCAGTACTATATTATATCCTATATGTATATGTGTATCCTGTATATCCCGTATAATAATATAAGTATACAGTATAATATTCAGTATTAGAATATATGGTATATTATAACTGTACATAAGGCATCCACTTTTGTACTCTCATGCGTGGGAGGACAGAACTAACCTTGGATGGTTGCCAGGAGATCTTTGACCCTAGTCAGGTTGGCCTTACAGTCTTGAAGCTCTGAGAATAACAGCTCTCTCTGGACTAAGAACAGAAGAGATTGATATCTTATTAGAAGACAGTGTAATTCTCTTGAATTCGAGCCATAATGTAGGGCATTTGGCAAATGAAAGAGTGACCTACAAAATAACTGTTTATTTATTGTATAAATTGTTTTAGGGGGCAAATCAGCTTTAATGTTGTAGATAGAGTGTGGATTCTATCAATGTAATTGTCTGCATCATTTCCAATCCCTCATATTTTTTGTAAATATATATATATATTATTTTGTAAATATATTTTTCTTTATTATAAAATAACTGTTGAATTTAGGCCATAATACAAAGGTATGCATTTGGCGCATAAAACATTTGAAGTACAAAATGACGTTCCAACGCACTTCACCACACTCATATGACTAAGTTTCCATTAGGGCAGGACTTTTCCCTGGTCAAGAAAAACCCCTCTCCTTCCTCATATACAGTGCAATGATAGCATATACAATATTCAAACATGTTTTGGGGAAGCAATACTACTGCAGTGTAAATGTAATCCTAATCTTGATAACATGGAACTTTGTATTGAAATGAGAAGTTTTAGTTAAATTGGGTTCAACTTCCCCTTTACATTAGTATGTCAAATCAAACAAGTATTATTTTTCACGCCGAATACAACTGGTGTAGACTTTACCGTGAAATTCTTGCTTATGAGCCCTTCCCTAAAATGCAGAGTTTAAAATAAAAACAAAATAGTAACACAAGAGGAATAAAATAAAATACAAAAGAATGGAGCTATATACAGGGAGTACGAGTATCAGATTAATATGCTGAGGTATTTGAGGTAGATATGTACATGAAGGCAGGGTAAAGTGACTAGGCATCAGGATAGATAATAATAAGAGTAAAATAAAGAACAGAGTAGCAGCAGCAGCAAATTATGAGTATAAAAGTGTGTGTGTGTAATGTGTATGTATGTGTGTTTTTGTTGTGTCGGTCTGCGTCTGTGTGTTATGTTTGTGTGTGTGTGTGTATGTAGTGTATGTGAATGTGGGTCAGTCGTGGGTGAACAGGGAGTACAGGAGGGGACTAAGCACACACCCCTGAGGGGCCCCCGTGTTGAGGGTCAGCGTGGTGGAGGTGTTGTTGCCTACCCTCACCACCTGGGGCCGGCCTGTCAGGAAGTCCAGGATCCAGTTGCAGAGGGAGGTGTTCAGTCCCAGGGTCCTTAGCTTGGTAATGATATTGGAGGGGACTATGGTGTTGAACGCTGAGCTGTAGTCTATGTACAGCATTCTCACATAGTTATTTCACCTCTTGTCCAGGTGGGAGAGGGCAGTGTGAAGTGCAATTGAGATTGCTTCATCTGTGGATCTGTAGTGCATGTGAATTGGTGTGGGTCTAGGCTGTCTGGGATGATGGTGTTAATGTGTGTCATGACCAGCCTTTAAAAGCACTTCAATAATTACAGATATGTTATGACAATATTGTGATATGAATAGGATAACAGCAGCTAGTCAGTCCCATGTCAGTAGAGTCCTGCTCTAGACTACCTACCTGTTATGTTGTGGCTCTCATTCTGTAGTCTCTTATAGTTGTCTTGCAGTTCATGCAGTTTCCCTGTTATGAAAGAGCAAATAATATGGATGAATAACATTCATTTATTTACATATCTAACAATAAAGTAAGAAAGTAAACCTTGTCCAAGCTAGAATTACCTATTATCTAACCATAGTCCTATTAAAATGAAACAATATGTTATTCATATATTACAGTGAAACGGCAGTATTTGAATCTGAGCCAGTCCCCCATTGACAAACTGCACCTTAATGATTTATATGGATTTTCTCAAACATTTATAGAAGGGGTTGATAATGGTAAAGACCTCTGGATCATTGATATTCTCACCTGTTAGATTCTCTTTCATCTGGGCAAAGCGAGCCTCCTCAGCTTGAAGACTAGTCATGTTGGAAGAATCTGGAACAGGGACAAGGAGACAAGATGGAGGGTAATTGTTCTTCTCTTGTGTATCACACTATCGTACCAACCTGAAATGTACTGGTCTGGGGTGGCTTGGATATTTTCTCTGCACATTGTCCTTTTCAGCAGAGTTCCAGGCCAACAACTACAGTGGATGCATAACCAGTTCGGTTCAGTAGTGTAAAAGGGTCAGGGTTCAGTAAAATGGTTCTATACTCACAGAGGACTCCCAGAGTGATAGCCAGACCCAGCAGTAGAACACAGAGACACGCCAGGGTCACCACGTGAACACTCCCAGACCCTCCCTCCGGGATTGCAGCCTTTGACCCCACTGGGGGAGAGGGGTCACTAGTGTCAGGGTCACTTCCTGGAAAAGGAGTGGATGTCAGAGGTTATAAGGTCATAAGGTTAAATAAGGGGTACTTAATGTAAACCTTTGCTAACTGTAACACACACACACCTCACCTTTCCCAGGATCCTCCTGCTCTCTAGCTCTACCTCCTGGTTTTCTGACCTCAGAGTATGTGACATCCTCTTCACGTTCGGCTACTCCTATGGTTACAGAGATATGAAGAAAGAAATTGTTCTTTTTTTCATTTATTTTATATATATTGCACCCCATGCGTGATTATATTATTTCCCTAAAACCAACCTCATGGTGATTAACCCCTATTAGAATTGTACAATTCTAGTTTCTCTCTCACATTCCACTATCGCAACATTCTATTAGTATTGTACCATTCTAGTTTCTCTCACACATTCCACTATCTCAACATTCTATTAGTATTGTACCATTCTAGTTTCTCTCACACATTCCACTATCTCAACATTCTATTAGAAATGTACCATTCTAGTACCTCTCTAAGAATCCACTATATCAATATTATATTAGCAATGTATCGGTCTACACTGAAAATATATATAAACGCAACATCTAAGGTGTTGGTCTCATGTTTCATGAGCTGAAATAAAAGATCCCAGAAATGTTCCATTTGCACAAAAAGCTTATTGCTCTCAAATTATGTAGACAAATATGTTCACTTCCCTGTTAGTGAGAATTTCTCCTTTGCCAAGATAATCCATCCACCTGACAGGTGTGGGATATCAAGAAGCTGATTAAACAGCATGATCATTACACAGGTGCACCTTGTGCTGGGGACAATAAAGGCCACTCTAAAATGTGCAGTTTTGTCACACAACACAATGCCACGGATACATTTCTCTACCATAAGCCACCTCAAACGTCGTTTTAGAGAATTTGGCAGTCCGTTCAACTGGCCTCACAACCGCAGACCTTGTGTATGGTGTCGTGTGGGTGAGCAGTTTGCTGATGTCAACGTTGTGAACAGAGTGCCCCATGGTGGTGGTGGGGTTATGGTATGGGCAGTCATAAACTACGGACAACGTACACGATTGTATTTTATCGATTTGCAATTTGAATGCACAAAAATTCCGTAACGAGATCTTGAGGTCATTGTAAGGCCCATTTTTTTGTAGGTATCTATGACCAACAGATGCATATCTGTATTCCCAGTCATGTGACATCCGTAGATTAGAGCCTAATTAATTAATTTCAATTGACTGATTTCCTTATATGAACTGTAACTCAGTAAAATCTTTTAAATTGTTGCTTGTGGCATTCATATTTTTGTTCAGTATAGTTTCTCTCTCACAATCAACTGTATCAACATTCTATTAGAAATGTACCATTTTAGTTCCTCTCTCTCACAATCCACTATCTCAACATTCTATTAGAAATGTACCATTCTATTTCCTCTCTCACGATCCACTATCTCAACATTCTATAAGAAATGTCCCATTCTAGTTCCTCTCTTACAATCCACTATCTCAATATTCTTTCCTTTGAGCTCTACTAGGTTAGAGTCCCCTGACTGGAAGGTCCAACATGCAAACCATTTTATTAACTGTTAGGGTAACTAACCAATCTAATATTCTAATTCAGCACATCTGAAGAAAAGCTAACTTATTGTCAAGAGAAATGAGGAAACACTTTTGACCATGAACCAAATGTTACAGGTTGATGCTGTCTGTCTGTCTGTATGTCTGTCTGGAAGTTGGTTCACAGTGTGAAATCCAACAGACATGTCCAGAGTGTGACGAATAACATCTACTTTACATGGAACTGTCATCTTCTCATGCCCTTTACATTGCACTAATACTGTACATATCCTTCAAAACAGGATTCTATATGGAGTACCATTGTTGAGGCCCTATGGAATATATTCAAAAGGAAATGGACAAAAACTTTGCTGTCACGCCCTGGCTCTGGGGACTCTCGTATGTTGAGCCAGGGTGTTCATTTGTTTATGTTCTAGTCGTTGTATTTCTATGTTGGCCAGGGTGAATCCCAATCAGAGAGGGCTGTAGCTCGTTGTCTCTGATTGGGAGTCATACTTAGGTAGCCGTTAGGCATTTATTGTTTGTGGTTCTTGTTCTTATTTGGTTTGTGTTCAACCGTAGACATCACGTTTTCGTCTGTTGTTTTGATCGTGTGATCATTCTCGAAATAAATATGTTCACCTTCAACGCTGCGCATTGGTCCTCCTCCTTTGACGATCGTGACATTTGCACTTTACATAATAATGCTATAGTACATTCTAAAAGAGATGCCCAGTGACTCACACAATACCACATGTTAAACATATAGTACTAATTCATATTTATCCTCAAGTACAGTTACAAACACACTTCAGAAAAGCTCATATTGATCCCAACCAAAATATGTCTTATTTTCCCTCTAGCCCCTGGGTTTACACAGTTTTGGTCTGACCCGTCCTTAAACGAACGTGACAGAAGATCCCACCAAACACGGACCAAGCAGCGTGCCCAGGAGCAAACACCCTGGACACAGGTGGGGAAGATTTGGTCTTGGGAGGAGATATTTGCGGGGAAAGGACCCTGGGCGAAGAAGGAAGCCCAGGCAGGAGAGGAGCAACGGCAACACAGAAGGCGCCGGCCGAGGAGGAAGCCCGAGAGGCAGCCCCAATACATTTTTTTGGGGGGGCTAAAGGAGTGGTCGGGGAGCGAGAGAGAAGAGCCCGACCACTGCACCTGGTGGGTTTCCAGGTTGAGTCCCTACGACCATGGGGAAGAAGAGTGGGAACAGTTTTATACTGAGGAGTCGGAGGATGACGACGACGACGATGAGTTTCTGTTCCCTAACTCGTGGGGGCTCCCGGAGGAGTCCTCACTGGAGGAGGAGTGCCGAGAGAGAGAGAAGGATCAGATCTGCAGGGTAAGAGAGGAGGCCACCACATTACGGGGGCTGATAGCGAGAATAGAGCGGGAGAGCTCCATTCAAGAGGAGGCACTGCAGGAGGCTCGTAGGGAGAAGGAGGAAGTAGATTCACGGAGAGAGGAGCTGGTTAGGCAACATAAGGAGCGCGGGTTAATAGAGGAACCCAAGTATGCAGAGATACGCACTGTATCGCCAGTGCGCATGCACAGCCCAGTGCGTTCTGTGCCAGCGCCCTGCACGTATCGTGTGAAAGTGGGCAGCCAGCCAGGACGGGTAGTGCCGGCTCAACGCTCCTGGTCTCCAGTGCACCTCACCAGTCCTGTTCGGCCCGTATCTGCTCCTCGCACCAAACCAATGGTGCGTGTCTCCAGAGTGGCCCGGCCCATTCCTGCTCCCCGCACCAGACCTGTGGTGTGTCTCCCCAGTCCGGCCTGGCCCGTTCCTGTTCCTCGCACCAGGCCAGTGGTGCGTGTTCCCAGTCCGGTACGACCCGTGCCTGCTCCCCGCACCAAGCCAGTGGTGTGTGTTCCCAGTCCGGCCCGTTCCTGTTCCTCGCACCAAGCCAGTGGTGCGTGTTCCCAGTCCGGTAAGGCCTGTCCCTGCTCCTCGCACCAAGCCAGTGGTGCGTGTTCCTAGTCCGGTCCGGCCCGTGCCTGCTCCCCGCACCAAGCCAATGGTGCGTGTCCCCAGTCCAGCCCGGCCCGTTCCTGCTCCTCGCACCAGACCTGTGGTGTGTGTCTCCAGTCCAGCCCGGCCCGTTCCTGCTCCTCCCACCAGACCAGTGGTGCGTGTTCCCAGTCCGGCCCGGCCCGTGCCTGCTCCCCGCACCAAGCCAGTGGTGCGTGTCGCCAGTCCGGCCCGGCCCGTGCCTGCTCCTCGCACCAAGCCAGTGGTGCGTGTGTCCAGTCCGGCACGGCCCATGCCCGTTCCACCGGTGCCGGCACCGGTAAGCTGCTCCACTCCGGAGCCAGAGCAGTCCGCTCCACCAGGATCCAGTCCAGCTCCGGTCAGCAGCTCCACTCCGGAGCCAGAGCAGTGCGCTCCACCGGTGCCCAGTCCAGCTCCGGTCAGCGGCTCCAGTCCGGAGCCAGAGCAGTTCGCTCCACCGGTGCCCAGTCCAACTCCGGTCAGCGGCTCCAGTCCAGACCCAGATGTCAGTCCCTCTCCAGGTTCGGGGTCTCCCACACCAGGGTCCAGACAGGGCTTGGTGCATCGTGGGAGGAAGGAGAGGGGAAGCAGCGTGCCGAGGTCCAGACCAGACCAGGGGCGTAACGGGGAGGCTGAGAGAATGTGGTCGTCACGCCCGGAGCCGGATCCGCCTCCGAGGTGGAATGCCCACCCGGACCCTACCCTGTTATGTAAGGTTTGTGCGGTCGGAGTCTGCACCTTTGGGGGGGAGGGATACTGTCACACCCTGACGTATGGGACTCTAGGATGTTGGGGCAGGGTGTGGATTTCTATGTTGTATTTTCTATGTTCTCAGTCTAGGTGTTGTATTTCTATGTTTGGCCGGGTGTGATTCCCAATCAGAGACAGCTGTCGCTCGTTGTCTCTGATTGGGGATCATACTTAGGCAGCCTGTTTGCATTCAGTTGTTGTGGGATCTTGTTCCGTGTAGAGGCTTGTGTTGTGTTTAGCCTGTGGACTTCACGTTACATTGTTTTGTTTGTGTGTTTATCTTTAAAATAAACATGTATGCATTTCACGCTGCGCCTTGGTCTGACCCGTCCTTAAACGAACGTGACAATTAAATAAAAATATTCCTTATGATTTGTTCTTTGACTGTCTTTTTTTTTGCCATTTTGAATGTGTTTTTCAATGTGTTTCTATGGGCTATAGTAGTAAAGGCCAAATTCAATATTTTATCAAATTATTATAATATAATTTTTATACATACAGAGGCCTTTCAAGGTGTCGAAAGCATTGCACAGGGATGCTGGCCGATGTTGACTCCAATGCTTCCCACAGTTGTGTCAAGTTGGCTGGATGTCCTTTTGGTGGTGGATCATTATTGTTGATGCACACGAGGAACTGTTGAGTGTAAAAACCCCAGCAGTGTTGCAGTTCTTGACACAAACCGGTGCGCCTGGCAACTACAACCATACCCCGTTCAAATCTTTTGTCTTGCCCATTCACCCTCTGAATGGCACACGTACACAATCCATGTCTCGATTGTCTCAAGGGGTAAAAATCCTTCTTTAACTCGTCTCCTACAGTGATTTAACATTTGATATCAATAATTGATCACAGCGTTCACCTGGTTTCACTTGGTCAGTGTATGTAATGGAAAGAGCAGGTGTTCTTCATGTTTTACACACTCAGTATATACAGCCTTCTTCTGTTACTAACTCCTTGTTGAATTATGACATTTCAACCCTCGCCCCCAAGGTGATGAAATGTTGTATTGTAAACGTATGTTTGAAAACTAATATAATGATATAAATGAGAGAGAATAAAGAGGAGGAGAGATTCACCTTTAGAAACTTCACTTTCTGCTCCAGCATCTTGGTTCTGATGCCGAGTGAATGTAACATCGGAGTAGACGATTTCACCAGACATCATCACTACTCTAAGTCCTCTCTCAGAGTGGAGACCAGAAGAGGAAGAAGTCCCTTAACATCACACATGCTCACTCATGAAAATCCCACAAACACTCACACACTCAAGCACACACACACTAGTAGTACACAAACACAACTGTTTCGGAATACACAGAATGTTATGCAAAGAACATGCACAGAGACACACACGCTTACAGGCACGGACACACGTCCCAGGAGAATGCTGAGTGGGGTGGTGAGTTAAAATACAGAACTCATATTCAGTTCCTATTTTTCACTGGTCTTTATTTGAATATGTGGTAAACTAGAACTTAATTTAAATATGTTGTAAACTGGCAACCTAGTCAACGTACTGTAGACATACTGATGCCATCTCTAAAGGCAGAGCCAAGACAGTTGACTTGTCATGCTCATTCAAACATGGCCTGTATAATTTACAGTAGGTAGGATTCTAGCTAGCTGTAATTATATAGAGATATAACATATTATCTGTCAGTTAAGTATCATTCATGATAGATGGTTTGTCACGATCGTTGATGAACGATAAGGACCAAGGCGCAGCGTGATATGCCAACATGTTTATTTAACGAATAAACACAACGACAAAACAATAAACTAACAAGATCCCACCACTAACTAGTGCCAAAAGGCTGCCTAAGTATGGTCCCCAATCAGAGACAACGAGCGACAGCTGCCTCTGATTGGGAACCACACCGGCCAACATAGAAATAGACATACTAGAACATCAACATAGAAATATACAACATAGAACATACACACCCTGACTCAACATATACGAGTCCCTTGAGTCAGGGCGTGACATGGTTAAAGAGAGACAGCAGATAATACATTATTTCCATAATCCTAATATAATATATCACATCATATATCATCAAATAATGTTTTATAATAATCATTTCATAATGACAGCTCCTGTCAATTCGACTATTTGTGTGGGCTCTCTTGAAGCACGATACTGACAGCTGTGGAAGCAACTGTTGTTTTCTGTGAATATATTTGTATAACCACTGACACTATGAAAGTGGTACTATTCTCATATTAACATACTGTCTCTGCTGACTGTTGTCCAAGACAGGTAAATGATGTGGTGAGGTGTGTTCAGATTAGGAATTAGTAATTTGGTCCTCTTTCATGGTTTTAAAATGACCAAATATGAACCAATATGAAATACTCAACAACAACAACAACAACAACAACAACTACTACTACTACTACTACTACTACTACTGTATCACTATGTCCTACATTACATTTTACAAACATTACTATATCACTGTGTTATTCTAGCAGGACTCAACAAAAAGAGAGATGTGTATCAGTGCACCAATGTCATGGTATTGTTGTCAGATGAAAGAACTCTATAATGTGTTGCATGGAGAAGACATGTTGAGATCCAGAACCATCTTACTGAATGGATAACATTCTCAGTTGTCCACATTACATTCATATGATACTGTGTATTATGTAGTGTACATCCAATACATTCCACTAGGTGTCTCATCAGTCCCATTATTTACAATATTTACATCATCAACAGTGGTAGTAGCAGAGACGTAAGAGCAAGCGAGACATTTCACTTGCTCCTTTTTTGTGCTTCATATACAGTCAGTCAATGAATTAAGCAGATCAGATCCAGCTGCTATCACATTGGTGTCTATGGGAGAGCCACCCCTTTTAGCTTCAATATGCAACCTTTTGGGCAACCCGACCAAATTCACATAGAAATGTGAGTTATAGCTCTGTCATTCTCATTGAAAGCATATCTAAGATGTGGTAGATATGTTCTATGGGCGCTATTTCTATCCTCCCAGTTCTTAAGTTACGTTTTTTCTTTGTACACCAGCTTCAAACATCTGAAAATATAATATTTGTGGTTACTGAAAATATATTTCACAGTGGTTTAGATGGTTCAATTATTTTCTATACTATACAGCGCTTGTTTTGTCACATATACTGAAATTAGGCAAAATATAACAACATTTGCAACCAGAAAATGGTGAAGCAATTTCTGAATATTGGATTTCAGTATTAAGCAGATTGGAACATATATTTATTTTTTAATGGTACGCTTTTTGACCATTCAAAACAAAGGCTGGACCACTTAAGTCAGTTGTTTGTGTGTATGCCTCTCAAGACACAAAATACTGTGCACAAAGGCTGAGAAACGTTACACTGGTTGTCATAGTTACCACAAACCAACAACCCTCCTCAACCAGAGATGAGTTGAGTGGTTATGGTTTGATCTCTTCCTCTTTAGCAGTGAGGGTTTGTCTGTGAAGTGGTATTTTTCCATTGTGGGCAGAGAGAGACAAATAGAGAAATGGTTGTTGCTGATGATTAGGCCTATGCATGGGACAAGTGTGTGGGGCTTTTTTGCCAATGTTATTTTAGAATACAGTATACTGTATTTCACTTGTCATATTCATTTCTCAAGCTCATCTACACACAGTTGACCTCCAAATAGCTACAGTGGGGTCCGAAATTATTGACACCCTTGATGAAGATGAGCAATAATGACTGTATAAAATAAATAATTCAAATACTGAGCTATATTGTAAGCAAAAAAAAAGGTGAAATTATATAATTTACCACTAATACAATTGCTCAGAGAAATACATTTGTTTAACAAATAGTCTTTTCTCTCTAAAAGGTAGGGATCAAAATTATGGACACCGCTAAAGATTCTTCTAAATAAAGTAGTCAAAAGTTTAGTGGGGTCCTATATTCCTAGCACGCAATGACTATATCAAGCTTGCGACTCTACAAACTTGTTGGATGCATTAGCAGTTAGTTTGGTTGTGTTTCAGATTATTTTGTGCCAACAGCAATGAATGGTAAATAATATGTTGTGTCATTTTGAAGTCAGTTTGATTATAAATAAGAATATAATATGTTTCTAAACACTTCTATATTAATGTGGCTGCTAACATGATTAAGGATAATCCTGATTGAATTGTGAATAATGATGAGTGAGAAAGTTACAGAGTGTCAAAGATCATACCCCCGAGACATGCTAACCTCTCACAATTACCAAAAACAGGGGATGTTCTTAATTACAGTAAAAGTGACTCCAAAAATACATTATTTACCATTAATTTCTATTGGGCACAAAATAATCTCAAACACATCCAAAATTAACTGCAAATGCATCCAAAAAGTTTGTAGATTCACAAGCTTGATGTAGTTATTGAGTGCTAGGAAAATGGGACCAAATAATACACTTTTGACTGCTTTATTCATAAGAATCTTAGGGGTGTCAATCATTTTGACCCCTACCTTTTTGAGAATTTATTGTATTACCTGTTAAACAAAATCTCTTTCTCTGAGCAATTGTATAAGTATAAAATAATTTCATTTCCCCATTTTTTGGGGTGCATACATTATAGCTCAGTATTTGAATTATTTATTTGATAAAGTCATTATTGCTCATCTTTATCAAGTGTGTCAATAATTTCAGACCCCACTTTACATCCTGAACAAAATGATAAATGTCACATGTGCCATGAAGTCAAACCTTTGACCCCTCTCCACCTCTCCTAGTGACACTACAGATTCTACTGAAAATGTAAACATGACCGGGTATGGTCAATGCAATATTGACTTTTGCACAAATCTGTTTTTATCCAGTAAAGTCCTTCCTCAGATCTTTCCTTTTTATTATGTATTTTTTTACTGAATATTTAAAACATACAATCTACTTTCAGTGAAGCCGCTCAACATCTACATCACATTAGTCATCTAACAGACTCCCACAGAAGCAACCAGGGTCAACGCCCTGCTCAAGGGCACATCGACAGATCTCCCATAAGGTCAAACGTTTTGTTAGTTCTCTCTTCCACCCACAGAAAGACCACAATGTTGCTGTGTCCACTCCTTTTACAGAAAGAGGAAGTTGAGTCAAGGTGAACATGACATCAGATGCTCATTTACTCTGTTTTTCTTTAAGGATCTGTAACTTTCTAATTCTGACAAAGCCCAATTTGTGTCACAGCCACAGGAACTGTAGGGGTCCAGTCCGGAGGAAACGCTGGTGTCTTCAGTCCCTTACCAGAGGCTCAGAATGGAGCACACTTCACTTTATATGCTGCTCTGTGAGTATTACATAATGATGAATGTATTTATCTGTATTAATTGATGTTGTTAGCTAACTATTTGTTTCATTTATAGAATATGAAGTATGTCATACATGCACAATAAATGTGGCACCAGATGAGGACGTTGTTTGGTTACACTATGTTTACTGTCAACAGAGGAATGGAGTTGCTGGCCATCGCAGCTTGTAATCAACCAGGTTATAGCATGAGCCCGAGAAACACTAGGAATCTATATAGCGTCATTTTATAGCAAAAATATATTTTGATTCAATAACATTTTATAGTTTACCCTTTGCAAGTGATGTCATCCTACGTCATTTATCCAGTTCCTGTCCCATAATCTTTTGAATGGCTTGATGATTATATCATAAAATTTGTGAAAACAAGGTCATATATATCTTTATATATATATATATATATATATAAAATGAAATTTGTGTTTGTGGATGAATTTACTTCTGCCAGATGCCTTTTATTAAGTTTTGGGCCATTGAATACCATTCAAAAAGCTGTCAAACGTTTTAAAACTACAAGGCTACTTCCTGGAAAATTCACCATAACTTTCATAGAGTTTTGCTCTTCTAGCTCAATTACAGTGGGGAAAAAAGTATTTAGTCAGCCACCAATTGTGCAAGTTCTCCCACTTAAAAAGATGAGAGAGGCCTGTAATTTTCATCATAGGTACACGTCAACTATGACAGACAAATTTAGGAAAGAAAATCCAGAAAATCACATTGTAGGATTTTTAATGAATTTATTTGCAAATTATGGTGGAAAATAAGTATTTGGTCACCTACAAACAAGCAAGATTTCTGGCTCTCACAGACCTGTAACTTCTTCTTTAAGAGGCTCCTCTGTCCTCCACTCGTTACCTGTATTAATGGCACCTGTTTGAACTTGTTAT